TGCAACACACCCTTCACTCTACAACCCTCCCCTATTTCCAGGTCATCTGGTATATTATCGCTGGTAGGAAGTCGGCCCTGATAACAAGTTAAACATCAGTCCCTCCACCCACTCAATACCAGAAAAAATCTCAGTGAGGTTTCATTGTCTACGCAGAACAGAGCTTGGGAAATAAAGGAGTGAGTCATCCTATGGCCTGGGCTTTTTTCACATTGAGGCCCTAACATTGCCTTTGAGCCTCTGGGATCTTCCCCAGCTCCAAACACAGCTTCCTCCCCTCCTAGCCTGTTCCCCATAGGGCTCCTTAACTGGCCCTTCCAGAATCCCAGCTCTGTAAGGATGGTGCACTCCTGTTTCTCTGAAGAACTGCTTTTCTTTGCTTCTGGATTTCAGGTCAGTTTGATGTCAGCCTCCCTAGGCCAGAACACTCTTCACAGTTAATAAACTTGGGAGAGAATACCTGCAGCTCCAAGAAGGTCCTTGGCCAGGGCGATTTCCCAAACCATACTTTGTGCCTAGGCTCTTCTAGAAACAAGCTGTTCAGCTCTGGTTTCTGAGCTGCTCCCAGCAGCCAGCTCCCTCTCTCCGCCCCCTCAGTCACCCAGCATTGTGTTTATAGCACCATACAGCTGTTTCCCTCTGTACTTGTCTATACGACTCCAGTGGATTTTAGCCAAACCCCCTCCATTGAAGGCCCTTCCCTGGCTGGCTCCAATTTCCCTCCCTTGCCCTCATCTTCACCTCCCAGCCCTCCACTCCATGCACCTTTCACTCCAGTCCAGTCACATCAAAGCCCCAGTCTTCTCTGAGCACACCTTGTACCTTCCACCTCTACCTCTTTTTTCATGCTCTTTCCTTTCCCCAAAACGCTTGTCTCCCATTTCCACTGTTGTTCTGCCTCTCTGTGGAAAGTCTGTTCATTTCACAATCACCCTATTCTTTTGTCTGCCATAGAACTTGTCAGTCTGACAGTCAGATGTATGTTTAATTGCCTTTCCTACCACCAGTGAATGCTAGGTCTTAAATAGCTCTGAATTCCCCAGCACTACTGCAGTATCCCTTTAACTAATTTGTTTTTCTATGAATTTTCTCCACCTCCACCTATGGACTGGAAGGTCCTGAAGGTAGTTGTTCATACTTCGTGTCCTCCCACTGCATCTGGGACACGCCTTTACCCACAATTCACTTAAGACAAGGCTGACCACGGATGTCAGACAGATCCTGAGCTCTCCCCTTAACTCAGGAAAGAGGCCTGAATCACTGAGAAACAGTGATTCACTTTTCGCTCAAAATGATATGGTAAAAAAGGGCTGTGAATGAAAACACCTGAGCTCTGGCTTGGCCTCTGATGCCAACTTGCTTATTAGTGTGAGGATCACTTTTCTGCACTTCAGTTCACTCACCTTCAAAATGGAAATAGCACTACATACCTTACCTGCTTCATCAGGAAACAGCCACAGGAAAGGCACAGGAGCTGACAACAGAGGCAGGAGGTGGCTGGCATCAGGATGATGTATACACAGTAAGGGATCTGTGTTCCCAGAGGCCAGGTGACGGCTAGCAGTTCCCTCTCTCAGTTTAGCAGTGAGAATGGGGAACGTCCACCCAGTAAGCTAGGGAACAAAGCAGAAGCAGCACAGAAGTTTGCAGAGGTAGTAGTAGAAAAAGGAACAAGCCCAAACACTTTCCCTGTGTGTGACCTAAGTTAGTGGGTCCTTTGACAAGTGCTGCTGTTACCGAGTTCATGCATTTGCCCATGCTTTCTCTCTGGCTACTTATGTGGGAGTAATAGAAAGAAGGATCACTGGTTTATCTGTTTCTAGGCTACACAACTTCTTTTTTTTTTTTGAGACAGTCTCACTGTGTCACTCAGGCTGGAGTGCGTGGCACAATCTAGGCTCACTGCAGCCTCCACCTCCTGGTTTACGCGATTCTCACGCCTCAGCCTCCCAAGCAGCTGGGATTACAGGCGCATACTACCATGCCTGGCTAATTTTTTTTTCTCTTTCATTGAGACAGAGTCTCGCTTTGTTGCCCAGGCTGGAGCACAGTGCCTCCCAGGTTCAAGTGATTCTACGCCTCAGCATCCCAAGTAGCTGGAATTACAGGCGCCTGCAACCATGCCCAGCTAATTTTTTTTTTTTTTTTTTTGATGAAGTCTTGCTCTGTCACCAGGCTGGAGTGCAGGGGTATGATCTCGGCTCAGTGCAACCTCCGCCTCCCAGGCTCAAGTGATTCTCCTGCCCCAGCCTCCCGAGTAGCTGGGACTATAGGCATGTGCCACTACACCCAGCTGATTTTTTTTTTGTATTTTAGTAGAGATGGGATTTCACCATGTCGGCCAGGATGGTCTCGATCTCCCGACCTCATGATCCATCTGCCTCAGCCTCCCAAAGTGCTGGGATTACAGGCGTGAGCTGCCGCGCCCGGCTAATTTTTGTATTTTTTTTAAGTAGAGAAGGGGTTTCACCATTTTGGCCAAACTGGTCTTGAACTCCTGACCGCAGGTGATCTGCCCGTTTCAGCCTCACAAAATGTTTCGATTACAGACATGAGCCACCACGCCCAGTTTAATTTTTGTACTTTTAGTAGAGACAGGGTTTCATCATGTTAGCCAGGCTGATCTGGAACTTCTGACCTCAGGCGATCCACCCATGTCAGCCTCCCACAGTGCTGGGAGTACAGGCATGAGCCACCACGCCTGGCCTAATTTTTGTATTTTTAGCAGAGACAGGTTTCACCATGTTGGCTAGGCTGATCTGGAACTTCTGACCTCAGGTGATCGGCCCATGTCAGCCTCCAAAGTGCTGGGAGTACAGGTATGAGCCTGGCTGACTTTGAACGAGTTACTTAGCTCTCAAGTCTCAGTTACTGAGTCTGTGAATTGGGGACGAGAGCAATTATTGTGTGAGAATTAACTGGTATGAGCCGCTTACATTGTTCAGCAATTGTTAGTTGTAATAACTATAACATAATAATTATTAATAGTTCCTGACAGCTCCTTGCTTTGAACAGTGTGGCCTTCAGCATAGCTCTGGCCTCTGTGAGTTACCAGTATTGTGAATAGGGCTAGCAGTGGGGTATAATTACTGAAACCTTATAGCCAAGATTCCAAGATAGTCACAATTTCAAAGAGACTCTCTTGTTTTCCCTTAAGTCAATGAGCACTTGCCAATCAGATTGGGAAAACATGGTCAGCATGGAAAGCACCTCAGCAGCTGCCTATTTCTCCATCAGCCCCTACAGTCACTGAAAGGCGGTGCAAAGGAGGAAGATAATTAGCGATGGCTCAGGGTACCTGATAGGCGGGGAGACCTAGATCCTACTCCTGACCTTCCCAGTCCAACTGGCCACTGCTACACAAGTCCAGCTCTAAAAGGAAAGAGCAAATGACACCCTTCAAGCTCAGTAGTTCTCCACCTTGGCTGTACACTAAAACCAGCTGGGGACGTTTTTGAATCCTTGTACCTGGACTGCACTCCAGACCAATTAAATCAGTTTTGGTTTTTGTTTTGTTTTGTTGAGACGGAGTCTCGCTCTGTTGCCAGGCTGGAGTACAGTGGTGTGATCTCGGCTCACTGCATTCTCCATCTCCCGGGTTCAAGTGATTCTCCCGCCTCAGCCTCCCAAGTAACTGGGACTAAGGCGCGCGCCACCATACCCAGCTAATTTTTGTATTTTTAGTAGAGACGGGGTTTCACCAGGTTGGCCAGGATGGTCTCGATCTCTTGACCTTGTGATCCGCCCGCCTCAGCCTCCCAGGGTGCTGGGATTACAGGTATGAGCCACTGCACCCTGCCTAAATCAGTATTTAAAAAAAAAAAAAAACTCTCCAGATAAACGCCACTGTACACTAAAAGTTGAGAACTGTTTCAGGCAAGGGTTTTTCAAACTTGCCAGATGTGATAACTACCTGTATTAGCTTAAAATAATTTCTCTGGCTCTGGAGTTTGATTCTAACATACCCTTTGAAAACATGTACACTATTTTAACATCTTGGAAAGTAGGGCAATCTTCTCGTCAGTGGTGCCTAAGACTTAAGGAAACACAGAAACAAACAACCCAGGTGATTCTTAGGATTTGGGAAGTTTAGGGGAAAACAGTCCCCTAGGGCAGTGCTTCCCAATCTTTAATGCCTTAGAGTCACCTGAGATCGTTAAAATGCAGATTCTGAATCAGAAGTTCCGGGTTAAAGCCTGAGATTCCACATGTCTAATAAGCTTTCCGGGTGATCTGATGTTGCTGGCCCTTTTGCCACATTTTGGGCAGCAAAATTCTAAAATAGCTCCACCTGAGGAGTCTCCGCCAGCAAGACTCATTTAAGTAAACTGAAATAACTGGCATAGAGAAGTACAACCAGTGGGGTCCTAAATGTCTGTGCGGCAGTCGCTAGACCACACCCTCATTTCTCCCCCAGGAAAGGGCAGCTGGGATGCTAGCCAGAGGGAGAGCTGTCCTACCTTTAAGAAGCCAGGGTCTGGGGTCCAGTTTCCCAAAGAAGCAGAATTTGTTGTGTGAGGTAGCACAAACCCCACACTGAACACCAGCGAAGTTCACTCATGAAGTGAAGTTGGACTCAGCTGGCTTTAGTGGGCCCACTAAAGCAACCCCACTGTCTTACCATACATCCTTTGCCTACATTTATTCATTCACCAAACATTTTGATCCACAAATAAACTACAAGTTCTGAGAGGTTCAAAGATGAGTCAGATTTGATCCCTTGAGCTCCAGGGGACAGAAATACAGCAAGGGAAGAGATCTGTAGAACAACATACAATATGAAGTGGTAAGTGCTAATAGCAGAAATACAAAAGAGAGGGGCCAATACAAAGAAACAATGTGAATAGCTTCCTGGAGCAGCAGCCACTCAGGGAGCTGAGTGAAACATTCCTAATCTTCCCAAGGAAGGGCACCACCCAAGACACAAACTCCTTGACAAGACCAGCCTACGAGTATGCTTTGATACCCTGAAGCCCTTGAAACCAAGACCTTATAATCTGGAGGTTCAACATAGGGAATGCTTCTTACATATGTGCCCATAATCTCCAGCTCTATGATGGAAATAAATGCAAGGAAGCAATAGAATTTTAGGGGATGAGCCTCTCAAAGGATGGAAGTGGTTGTACATCCTATCCTTCTGTGTCAGAGCCCAGCAGATCATTTCCCTAGTTATAGAAACATTTGAGTCTTTACCCCTTGCCGTATTGACAAAGCTCTTAATTGGCTTGACTGATCACATTGCTAGATATAAAGGCTACAATCCCTAGACTAAGAAGTAGGTCTCCAGTCGGGGTAGGGAGTCTCAGCCAATGTACGCAGGGTACAAGACCCTACAGCCTGCTCTCTCTCCTGGCCTCATACAGAGCAGCTTTTAGGGGAACCAAGTTGGGATACTCAACCCCAACTTTTTCCCTTCTCTTCCATCTCTCATACAGGAAACCTTACGAAAGAGCCTTAGGGGCCTGACAAAGCTGAGAAGACGGCAAACATGGGAAGTGGAGCCAGTGCTGAGGACAAAGAACTGGCCAAGAGGTCCAAGGAGCTAGAAAAAAAGCTGCAGGAGGATGCTGACAAGGAAGCCAAGACTGTCAAGCTGCTACTGCTGGGTGAGTGAGATGGAAAGATGAGCCAGAGAAGGCAGGGTCCTTCCTGCTTACCTGAGGGTCGGTGGGTTCTACTTCATCCCATGGGAAGGAGGGGTGGCAGATCATTTTTCCCCTCCTCTACACAGTCTCAGGCTAGGGGATCAGGAGCTCTAGAGCTGAGTTAATATGGTACCTACATAGCCACCCCAACAGGATCCAGAACACCAAGGCTATTTCAGAGTTTTTCTACTCGAGCCAGGAATAGTGCAAGGGCCAGGATGGACCCGCCCATCGCCAAATCTAACCAAACTTAACACAATCTTTTGGCTTGGCAAATACCGAGGACCCTGGACTTGCAGACCTGCGCCCAATTTGCAGTCAGAGAACTCTAAGCCAAGAAATCAGAAGAGAACAGGGTCTTCCCTCACCAACAGGCTCACAAGTCCCCCCATACAATCAGTGCCAAGAGTCTGGGACTATTCCAGATACTCCTATTCGTTTTTGCCAAGTATAGTGGTTCCTTGTTTTCAGTAAAAATGTTGGAAGTAGGGAGCCCCGTGAGGAGGAATGGTGTCTTTATGTACAGCACTCCCTTCCTGGCTCCCTATTCAATAGCTGCCCGCAAAGCCCCTGCCAGATGGAAGGTTCATCAACTTGATGAGCTCCTAAGCAGATCACTGGTCTGTGCTGAGAAAATAAAAGCACCTCGATTAGGCAGTCAGGGAAATTGATCATGACTGTAAATAAAACCAATGCAAGAACATTTGAGACACCTGGCTTAGGAAAACAAACCACTGGTACTACCAGAAGTAGGGTAGCTGGGGCAGATGGGGGTCTATGTAGCAGAAGATTGGGTGCCGCGCTGGGTTTCCAAGCCCCCATAAGGGACCTGGGAGCTGACGCACTAGGCTAAGGTGGCTTCTTTTCCCTCAGCTGGTCTGTGGCACAGTCGTAAGGACACACTAAAGGAGCACATCTCTGTAAGCTAGACCCAGACTCTAAGGAGCCCAGGAGGTTACGCAGGGGGAAACAGAGATGGTGGGGCCACTGAGAGATCTTTTAAGCCTAAGCAGATTTCTTCCAGGTTCAGGATAAGCAGCTTAGTGAGAGCAAGCACAAGCGACGTGGGAGGAGGTTGAGGCATTAGGGTAGCGTAGACTCAGTATTGAAGGTATAAATTTTTGATGGGGAAAGCAGAGTGTGAATAAGTACATTAGGATATTTTAGTCAATAAAGGGAACCCACTTAACCATAAGAGTTCAAGACCAGCCTGAACAACATGGTGAAACCCTGTCTCTACTAAAATAAAAATTCAAAAAAATGTAGCCGGTCATGATGTTGCCTGCCTGGAGTCCCAACTACTCAGGAGACTGAGCTGGGAGGATCACTTGAGCCTAGGAAGTCGCGGCTGCAGTAAGCCGAGATTGTGCTACTACACTCCAGCCTGGGCTACAAGCGTGAGACCCTGTCTCAAAAAAGAAGGAACCAGCAAGGTGATGAAAATAAGAGTATTTTGGTGAAATGATCCAGCTTTCTCCAATCCTACCCCAAGATCACTCTCCTGAGTCAAAAACAGGCAGAGGAGAAACGTTAAAGGACTCCCCTGAATCTGTTAGTGGTTTCCAACAGGGAGATTTTGACTCCCAGCGGTCATTTGGGAAATATCTGGAGACACTTTGGGTTGTCATAACTAGGGAAGTGGGGTGCTATTGACCCCAAGTGGGTAGAGACCAAGAATGCTGCTGAACATCCTACCATGCATGAGGCAGCCCAAACTGTAAATAGCACTGAAGTTAAGAAACACTGCTCTAAATCCAAGCTGAATGGCCTGAACTCAAGCCTGCCAGAAACTGAGGGCAGCAGTCATCCCTATGTTCTCCCCTAACAAGACCCCCGAGCAAGCAGTGGCTCTGAGTTCTCCCAGGCCATCTCCTGGAAGGCTGGGGAGAACTGGTGGAAATCGAAAACGAAGCATTTTTCCTTCCAGGTGCTGGGGAGTCAGGAAAGAGCACCATCGTCAAACAGATGAAGTGAGTAGAAACAAAGCCCCAAAGGACTGGGATAGGGTGAAGGTCAATAGAGGCAGTAGAGGTACTCAAAGTGAAAGGCTCTTTAGCCTCAAGGAGCCCAGGTATAAAGGATCTGATTCCAATGCCCCTCACCCTCTGCTTTGAGAAACCAGTAGTAACAGATAGGATTCTTGTGACTCTTTACCCCAGATTCCTAATCCCAGATTCCTAATCCCTTAGGTCTCGCTACTCAAGTCCAGCTAACGACAGTGTCTGCCCCTTGCAGGATCATTCACCAGGATGGCTATTCACCTGAAGAATGCCTGGAGTTCAAGGCTATCATCTATGGGAATGTGCTGCAGTCCATCCTGGCTATCATCCGGGCCATGTCCACACTGGGCATCGACTATGTTGAAGCAAGCTGTGCGGTATGTGATTAATATTATGTGGTTAAGGGTGGAAGCAGAAAGGCTAGCGAGAAGAAACATACCAGAGGCCAACGAACTATATGGAAAGATGGGTAAGAAAAATAGTTTTTTGTAACTATAATCCCACCTGCTGAGCTTCAAATATCTTAATTCAGTCCTGGAGAAGTAAGCAACCCTCACCCTTATTTTTATCGGGACAGGGTCTTGCTCTCTCACCTAGGCTGGAGAGCAGTGGTGTGATCATGGCTCACGGCGGCCTCACCCTCCCAGGTTCAAGTGATTCTCCCACCTCAGCCCCAGTAAGTGGGACCACAGGTGTGCACCACCACACTCAGCTTTTTTTTTTTTTTAATTTTTTGTAGAGAAGGGGTCTTGCCATCTTGTCTAGACTGGTGTCAAACTCCTGGCCTTAAGCAATCTTCCTGCCTCACACTTCCAAAGTGCTGGGATTACAGGGGTGAGCCACTGTGCCTGGCTTCAAACCCTACCTTTGTTACAAACATTTATAAAAGAAAGCTCTCACAGCTTCCTCTGCTTTTTTACTTTATCTTACCATTTAAATTGTTCCCCTTGGATTCCTGGCGATGGAACTTTTGTAAGTGAAATCCCTACTTCTAGTACTGGCCTTTTTCTAGCTTTAAATCGCTGAAGAACAAAGGTGGTGGGTCCCTGGCTTCTATCTTGTCTGTTTCATGGTCAATCTGACCTTTACATTTCCAGTCTCTGCAGCAGAGGACCTACGTTTTGTGGCAGTAAACTTTCAAACTAAGGATGAAAGTCAGAAACTCCAGAGAGGAAACACCTGGGGCCCCTGCTCTCCTTTAGACGAACCCCAGGGCTGGATATAGTGCCCTCTGCATCTGGGAGCATATTCAAAGTTAATCAGTACGTTTTTCTTTTTTAAGACAGAGTCTCGCTGTGCCGCCAGGCTGGAGTGTGGTGGCATGATCTCGGCTGACTGCAACCTCCACCTCCCAGGTTCAAGTGATTCTCTTGCCTCAGCTTCTTGAGTAGTTGGGATTACAGGCAACTGCCACTACACCCAGCTAATTTTTTGTATTTCTGGTAGAGATGGGGTTTCACCAAGTTGGCCAGATGGTCTCGATCTCCTGACCTTGTGATCCACCCACACTGGCCTCCCAAAGTGCTGGGATTATAGGCGTGAGCCACTGCGCCTGGCCTCAGTATGTTTTCTTACATAGAATCTTCACTGGAGACTGCTTCTATTTTAGATCTTCGCGGCAATGTAAAAATGCTTTCCATTCAGCAGTATTCCCAGAAGCCTCCTGGAACGCTATGACTCCTGTGAAGTTCCTAACCAGGTTTCTGCATTACAGGATGATGGTCGACAGCTCAACAACCTGGCTGACTCCATTGAGGAGGGAACCATGCCTCCCGAGCTGGTGGAGGTCATTAGGAGGTTGTGGAAGGATGGTGGGGTGCAAGCCTGCTTCGAGAGAGCTGCAGAATACCAGCTCAATGACTCCGCATCTTAGTAAGACTCTGATTGGGGAGAGGGTGGGTTGATGCTTAAGCAGTCTTTTAGCGAATCTTCTCTCTGGTTGGGAAAAATCTCACCCAGCCTAAAATTTCAGTCATTGAAAGCTGGAGACCCAGATTGAATTCAGCCTGTTTTGTTAGGACCTGTTTTGTTAGGCTTCAGCAGTTTTACTGTTTTGAATTTAATGCTATGGGGAGATCTGCCACAGCTGTCATGATTTTATATTGCTTTACATGGCTCACTACAGCCTACAAGCCTGAAGAAGCAAGATTCAAAAGAAGTGCCCTCAGCCCTGTTCTCTTAACTGAGAGGTGTATACTTAGCCTCTCCTTTCAGAACCCTAAGATGGCCCTGCAGTGCTGTCATATACTCTCCCAGGAGTAATGTAATTCATGATGGCTCTTTCAAGGCAGAATTTTCTATCTGGAAATCTAGGATCTACTTAGGCCACTAAGCAGAAATGAGTCTTCTACATCTAGAGTGTCTTATATCAGGATGCCAGGGCAGGGGACACAAACTACGAAGGCAAACCAAAGGAAGGTGGTCAGGAATTAGAACCATCATTGCAAAGCTGCTTCCAAAAAGACATGGGACATAATTTATCAATCCTACTTTAGACAGTAAGGGATCATAGACAAGCATGGGCTCTGAAGTCAAACCTGAGTTTATTTAACCTAACCATCTGTCTCCTAATCTCGTAATAATGCCATCACTTACTATTCCTGGAGCCCTCAAAGCCCAGTCACTGCTAGGCGTATTACATATACCATCTCAAGGCCTTTTACCCATCTACGAAGTAAGACTTTAAGGTAGACATCTTTCTAATTAGCCTCATTTTACAGATGAAAAACTGAAGTTCAGAGAAGTTAACTTGCCCAAGGTCATATAGATAAATGGCAGAGACTGCATTTGCATTGGGCCGCTTGACTACACAGCTGAATATTTTTCATAATACACCACAATGCCTCTTGACCTGAGGCAAGTATTTAACTCCTCCGAATTTCTCCATCTGTAAAATGGGGATCTGAAACTTGAAGGCTTAGGAGTTTGAATGAGAATCTGAACGTGAAAATGCCTGGCGTACAGTAGGCACTTGTGTTACCTGTGCTTCCCTCCTCCTCTCTGTCATCTCAGTTCACATCTGCCTTCCTCCTGCTTTTTAAAAAATAACTTTTTCTTTTTTATGGTAACTTTCAAACATATACAGAAGTAGAATAATATAATGAATCACCTACCTTCAACAGTTATCAACTCATGGCCAATCTTATTTCATTTTACCTCCATTCCCTACTGGATTATTTTGAAGCAAATTCCAGGTATCGTTTCATCCTAAAAATGTCATTATGGATCTCTCTAAAATATAGACCCTTTTTAAAAAGAAATATTCACGCCTAAATATTTAACAATTCCTTAATAGCATCATATATCACCAAATTGGTTTCCCCAGTTATCTCAAATGTTTCCTCCCCAGTTTGATTCAGGATATAAAAGTCCATGTGTAGCATTGGTTCGTGTCTCTAAAGTCTCTTTCAATTTACTGCCTCTTGATGAAACTTTTAACAACCATTGAAATCACTAAATCCCATTCAAAGATCTACAAAAGCTTGCAGTCAGGAGAAACCCAAGAAAAACTTACCTAACTTGATCTAAATGCGCTGGAACCCCAGCCTCAAATGGGCTTGTCCATCCCCCATTTCCTCTAGTTAAGGACATTTGAAGGTTTGAAGGAAAGAATCCTAAATTTAACAACATGTCTTCTAGTCCTGATTTCTATCACCAAATTAGCCGTGTGACTTTGGGTAAGATATCTTTTATGTCTCTTAGCCTTGGCTGTGGAAAATTTGTCATTGATGCTAATCACTTTTCTCTAGCTACCTGAACCAATTAGAACGAATTACAGACCCTGAGTACCTTCCTACTGAGCAAGATGTGCTCCGATCCAGAGTCAAAACCACGGGCATCATTGAGACCAAGTTTTCTGTCAAAGACTTGAATTTCAGGTAAGTGCATGGTTCCATGTGTATCTCAGATACACACGTGGAATCCCGAAAAGGGGCACGGGCATGCTTCTTGGCCTTTGCTGAAGCCTGATCTAAATTACTGTTCTGCTTCTCCCCCTTTTTCCTCTCCCACTTCACGGGGTAAACATCAAAGGCATATGGGTCATATGTTGGGCATACCTATGAAAATAGCTGCTTCTTCCCTCAGGATGTTTGATGTGGGAGGGCAGAGATCAGAGAGAAAGAAGTGGATCCACTGCTTCGAGGGAGTCACCTGCATAATTTTCTGTGCAGCCCTCAGTGCCTATGATATGGTGCTGGTGGAAGATGACGAAGTGGTGAGTGGTCTTTTCACCAAGCAGCTTTGGCAGAACAAGTTCTCCCCATGACCCTTTCTCTAAGCCTTGTGTCTGTCATTCTACTGCCCCAACTTGGGTAATTTCAGTCTAGCAGTCCTCTAGCAGACCAATCAATGTCTTATGCAAATAATTCTAGAAAAATGTCTTCTGCAGGTTCTAGATTAGCATTTTAGAGCTCCAAATTTACTGAAAGTGAGCTTGGTCTCAAATTAGACATCCTAGTATAACTTGGACATCACAAACCTCGGAAGAGGAATTGAGTGTAAAGAGATGAGGGACCATCAACTAGGCAAAACAAAGGAGTTACACTTAGTACTCTCCCAAGTTGCCTAAGTAAGGAGATGCAAATGACAGAACAGAGAAAATAACATATTATGTGAATCTTCATTGCAACATAATAGTAGGGTTGAACTAGTAACCCCACTTAAGAGGCTAAAAAGGTACTGTCAATAGGAGTAAGGAGAGACAGACTGGCAGACCAGCTTTCTCTCATGCCAATTAAATTGGCAGCTGGAAGACTACCCAAGAGTGGTTCTCTTTAGCCTGTAAAATTCTGTAGGACAGGAGTTCTACAGGACAAGTGTCAGAGCCCAGCCATGTACCTTCTCTGAATTTGAGAAAGGTTGTCACAGGTGTGAAAAACGTTAATTTCACCTAAGCATCTGCTTACAAATGGAGGTCCACAGCTTGCTGATGAAAGAGATACTCCTATCCCTTGCCGGGCAACTTGTTCTCTTCCCTTCCCCTTGGTAGTTTTAACTTCACATTAGAACACTCTGAATATCATCTAACCAAAATGTCTTAGAGCTATTCACCTTCCATCTTGGACCCTAAGATTAAAGTCTGAGACTTTCCATCTTTAACCCTAAAGATTAAAGTCTATGAGACCTTAATAAAACAAGCCCATGAGACCTTAAAGGGTTATGCAGGAGTATTATGGGGAAAAAGCCACAAATTAGATCGCTCTTGCTTTATTAGACGAATAGACTGAACTTAAGTCAGCTGATAGCATACTTCAAAACCCTAAAGACTTGCTCTCTGAAAGCAGCCTGGGCTGGGACACTGGGCAACCTCTGCAGATATACAGCACCATTCCTTGCTAAGTAGCAATCAGAGAAGGAAATGAGAGAGCAGAAATGCTTGTGGTATAGCACTGGAAAATTCTCTAACCCTCACCATGTGGCAGTAGAACCAAAGTAGCCCAAACCAAGATCTGGGACCCCATGAAAGACGCCTATCAAAATCATCCTGGAGCTGCATATGGGCACATGCTAACTTGGGCCTGTTTCACCCCATTATCAGCACTACTTATAACATGTCAAGTTCTCAGTTGCACCCTGGCTGCTAAAGATCTGCATAACACGTATTATACACCTATATGCCAGCCACTATCATGGACACTATACATATACGATCTCATTTAGCTTTCATTATAACCCTGTAAGATAGGAAAACAGACTCAGAAAAGCGCAATAATTTTCTACAAGTCACACAGCTATAAAAAGATAGGGAACTAGAATAATCCCACATCTCTCTGGCTTTCCTTTGGTACAGGAAAGAGATAGCTGTTTCCTGTCTTGCTTTTTACATTTGAAGCACTGGTCTCTCCAAGGGGAACAAGAGCAGGAAGTGAATAGATATTCTGTAAGCCAAATCTGATATTTCCAATGGTGTTTCCTCTTACTAGAATCGTATGCATGAGTCTTTGCATCTGTTCAACAGCATATGTAACCACAAGTTCTTTGCGGCTACTTCCATCGTCCTCTTTCTCAACAAGAAGGACCTCTTTGAGGAAAAAATCAAGAAAGTCCATCTCAGCATTTGTTTTCCAGAGTATGATGGTAAGTGTCAGGGGCCGGAAATAATACCTTTTAGTAGTGACTGGTAATTGTCTCATTTCTTAGGCCAAGGTGACATAAAGGAACTTAAGGGAGAACCTTGGGCACAGTTACAGGGTTTAAATTCAGATTCTCTGGAATAGAGCAGGCATTAGATACAGGAGAGCCACTGACTTCAAATGATACCTACTAAAACACCAAAGGCAGAGAGACACCTCCCCTCAATTTCTTTCAAGTGAGAAACACTGAAGTGCAATAGAAAAGGGAATCTTCCCTCCAAAATTAGGCCCCCAGCTGCTGTTGTCTAACAGCATTTCAAGGATCAAGTCAATCACCTAAAGTGGGCAGGCAACTAACAAGGGTTCCTTTATCCTACTTCACTATTTTTCTGGAAAACCAGGTAACAACTCCTATGATGATGCGGGGAATTACATCAAGAGCCAGTTCCTTGACCTCAACATGCGAAAAGATGTCAAAGAAATCTACAGTCACATGACCTGTGCTACAGATACACAGAACGTCAAATTTGTGTTTGATGCAGTTACAGATATTATTATCAAAGAAAACCTCAAGGACTGCGGCCTCTTCTAATCCTCACCATTCCTCAGGTATAAGTTCTATAAACAGGCTTGGAATCTGGGTGATTACAAACAGAAAATTATAGTCAATAGACCATGACATGAAGAATGAATCCATTCTTTGGAGACGGAGTATGCATGGCTGCAGCTGTGTTTTATATATTCTTTTCAATGTGGGATAGCTAGTGCAGCTTAAAGAGCAGAGGCCAGTAGTTAGAAGACCCTCCCCCACTCCCAGGTTCCAGTACTCGTTTTCCAACTTAATACAACAATGTGAATACTTCATTTCTGAGTCTTGAGTCTTTCAACTATAGAATGAAGATGACTTCCCTACCTACCTCACAGGATTATTCTAAGGAGCACGAACATAACCGAAGGGAAGTCACATAAAAACTGCTTGTGCAGGCTGGGCGCAGTGGCTCATGTTTGTAATCCCAGCACTTTGGGAGGCCGAGGTGGGCGGATCACCTGAGGTCAGGATTTCAAGACCAGCCTGGCCAACACAGTGAAACCCCATCCCTACTAAAAATACAAAAATTAGCTGGGCATGGTAGATGCCTGTAATCCCAGCTACTCGGGAGGCTGAGGCAGGAGAATCACCTGAACCTGGGAGGCGGACGTTGCAGTGAGCCAAGATTGTGCCACTGTACTCCAGCCTGGGTGACAAAACTAGACTCCGTCTCAAAATAAAAGAAACAACAAGAAAAAAACCCTGCTTGTGCTCAGGGTCACAGAAATAAATCCTATATAGGAGCCACCATTTATTAATTCAACATCTGGTTTTTAGAATATACTATTGCAACAAACTGTTCCAAGCAAAATAGCAAGGCTTCCCTAAGTCTGCAAAAAACTAATATCAACCAAAGTTCAATAAACCTGCAATTCCCTTTTTACTAACAGACCTCTATGTGCCTTAGCTCAGAGATCTGGATCACTGGATAGAAGATTCAAGTTTGTTAGTTTCTAAGGCACACATCCCAAAACTACCTTTATTAAGCACAGATTATCCCTCTGCCCTCAGGCTGTCAAACAGACCTTTATCTCTACAAATGTTTCTTAGGTATATAACATACTTCCTGAATAAACTTAGAGGACATCAAATACTCTCATTTAGAGTATTAATGATTATATTGCTGCCGCTTCTTTATCATAGAATTTGGAACAAGTGAACAATTCTAAACTTTTCATTTCAACTGCTACATGTTTCAGAAGAACCAAGACAGGTGAGCTTGTTTTAGGCACTGAAAATCTTTGCAGCTGGGTCCATGTGATGGCGGATGAAAACAACATCTCCCCAAACAAGCCAACAAGTTATTCCTTTGAACTCCTTTAAGGGGAAATGAAGTTTGTATTTATCTTGACAGGAGGGGATGAAGTCATGTATGGATTTATCATACCACTGAGGAAAGCTCTTGGCAACCAGAAAACATCAATTGGAAATTGCTCCTTGCCAGAAACACCCACTCACACTTAGGCTGCTACTAGCAATATTAATACTAGTGAGCCATATGAGCTTGAAATATGCTGAATAAATTTGTAACTATAAAAGTTAAATTCATTTAATAGTCTTTCTGATTCCCTAAAAAGAAAGCAACTTGAGAGGAGAATTATCAGAGAAACTACTCTGGCTACTGCTGATGAAAAAATGTAAGCCAAACAACAAACCCGACGGGGCACGGTGGCTCACCTGAGGTCAGGGGTTCAAGACCGCCTGACCTATATGGCAAAACCCCATCTACTACTAAAAACCCCATCTCTAATAAAAATACAAAAATTAGCCAGGTGTGGTAGTGCATGCCTGTAATCTCAGCTATTCGGGAGACTGAGGCAGGAAAATTACTTGAACCCAGGAGGCAAAGGTTGCAGTGAGCTGAGATCGCACCACTGCACTTCCAGCCTGGGCGACAGAGTGAGATTCCATCTCAAAAAGAAAAAAAAAACAAAAACCAAAAACATAAAAACCCAAGAAAGACTTCTCATATTCAAGAGCTGTTCATGAACTACTCTGAATATCATGCTCCAGCCATTACTAACCTGTTCACTTTAACTCAACATACAGGAGGAGTTCTGAATCTTTTTTATCATGGATCCAACCATGTACCCCTTTTCATCATATTTTTAAACATATAAAATTAAGAGAATTAAAAAGAAAACTAACATATCAAATACAGTCTCTCTGTAGATGCTCTGGAGCTCTGAAGCCCCAGGTGAAAAACCCTCACTATACAGCTATGATCTTGTCTATTCAGGACCCAAACATAATTTATACCATTTATTCCATCTCCATATAGGATAGTCCTACTTCCCCTCAAATAGTACCAAATTGCTGCTTATTTTATTAACTTTTCCTTGGTCTTTCAATCTAGGTACAAATTGGCTATCAGCCAAACTGTAAGTCGTAACACAGGATCTTTGCTTATTAATGTTCACATAGAACCTGCCTTCCAGTATTAGTACAGAAGCAGAGCCAGTGGGACAAGTCTTCTGTCAGAACAAAAGTTTCTAGCAGACTAAAACAGGGTTGCATTTAGTCCTCTTTGGGGATAGCTGGTAGATATCCCAACTTTTAACTCGTTTATAAACAAACTCACACAAGCCACCTTGTACAAACACTTTGGAAAGAGTGCATCTTGGAGAATAGAGGACAAAATAGTAGCACTAAAAGCAACATCCTATAGCTGTTTTTTTTTTTTTACTGAGGTTAGGATCCACCTATATTCATCTTATGTTTTCAAGCTAAAACTTTTCTGGCAAGTCTACATGAAATGTAACAGGAGCCCTTGAGCACCCATTTGCCTATTACCTTAGAACAACATCAAAATAATTTTCTCAAACTCTTGGTCCAGACTGGGCTCTCCCGTGAGTAAAGGTAAGAGGACTTCACCTTAAGGCTCACGATAGGCTTCCAGAAAAGGCATTCACCCTTATCCTAGTTTAACCGTTTGTCAGGCCCAACAATTGTTCCCAAATCTTACATTGTCAGAGCTAGAGAAAAAGTGTATTTGTACTTCTGCACAATTAGCTTATTTTTTATCTCATGGACATTTTGATTGTATTCATGAAAAGTTCTTATGTAAAACAGCTGTAAGATTAAAACCAAAATTAAGGAATATATTCTGCTGTCTTTATCTTTCTTTTGCCTCATTTTAAATTTGCATTGTACTGCTGAATTTTTATTTACTTTAAGCCATCAAGTTCTTTCTTGTACCAAGATCAGAAACAAATATTTAACCCTATTTTCTGGCACTTAATTCTTAGACTGCTAAAGTTAGAAGAAACTTAAAAATATTCCAGCCCCATCACTAGCAATTTATAGATAGGAAACCGAAGCCCACAGAGGGAGAGTATCTTCATCAAGATCACAGTGCTAGGTAGAGGCAGAACTGGAACTCCCAAACAGGTCTTCTGAATCCAAAGCCTGTGGTGACATCCAGCTACCAATACACCATACACTATAAAGTCAAAGTCAATTTCTCGTTCTTCTAAGCTCCTCCCATACACAACCAAATTCTTAATTTTTTCATTATACCATCTCTAAATTATGGACATTTAACAAAACCATCTCCAAACTAAGACAAAGAGATCTCAAAATGGAATATGAAAATACCATTAAAATCACAAAACATGACTAAGTTTGCTTGTTTGCTGAAGGTATAACTTCCTCTTCATATTATTAGAGGGAGAATATAATGTCCTTCCCTAGCATAGCACAATTAAAGAGATATTACTAACAATAAATCAAATAATCAAATAGGTTACATTTCACATATATCCGAGTTTTTTAGACAAAAACACAATATGATTGACACAAAAGGATAAATACTATGATTCCACTTATATGGGGTATCTAAAATAGTCAAATTCACAGAGACAAAGGAGAATGCTGGTTACCAGGGACTGAAAGAAGGTGAGGCATGGGAAGTTATTAACAGAAACGGAGTTTCAGTTCAGGAAGATGCAAAAAGGTTCTGGAAATGGACGGTGGTGATGGTTGTGCAACAGTGTAAATGTGCTTAATGCCACTGGGCTGTGTACTTAAGATAGCAAATTTTATGTTATATATGCTTTACCACAATTTTAAAAATAGAAAAACAATACACTGTAATTAGAAATTTGTATTTCTATGAAGAATGGATAAATGCAGCACAAAAGTTGTCTAAAAAGACACATTAGCTTGAAACAGTTCCTACACTGATAATAAAATCCACTCACATGTACCCCAAATAGTCCAAATCTGAGTATTCCTTCCCATCCCCATAGTGATACATAACAGCATTCAAAACCCACTTCTATACTTGGAGATGTGCTGTAGACCAAAGTGTGCCGGCCATGCTGGGTGGAGAAGGTGGTGAAGGGTGAAGAGCTCTTACCTCCCACTGCCCTCTCTACCCGGCACAGCCCCCGGAGCACAGATTCCAGCAGGACTTCGGTGTTGGGCCAGGGACTGCAAGAGTGACAGAGCCTCTGGTGGTCCTGCTAGGTAAAAGCATGAAGACATTTCTGTGAGGTCAGAAGACACTGGAGATTGCAGAAGGGAACTTTTCTGCCTTTTTGCCATGAAAAAGCACTAGTATGAGCAGAAAACAGACAACTGGATTTAAATGTAAAACAAAGCAAAGACCTTTTCACACTGCTTCACGCATTTTAAGAGCAATTTACAGTTCAACTTCATCTCAGGTCTTCAAAATGAATAAGGGCAAAGAAATGTTGTAAAAGACCATCAGGTACAATGAATACCTCTGTTGGTGCTGACTTAGGATTTTTTTTTTTTTTTTTTTGGGATGGTTCTCGCTTTTTTTACCCAGGTTGGGGTGCAATGGCGCAATCTCGGCTCACCACAACCTCCGCCTCCTGGGTTCAGGCAATTCTCCTGCCTCAGCCTCCTCAGTAGCTGGCATTACAGGCATGCACCACTATGTCCAGCTGATTTTTTGTATTTTTAGTAGAGACGGGGTTTCATCATGTTGACCAGGATGGTCTCGATCTCTTGACCTCGTGATCCACCCGCCTCGGCCTCCCAAAGTGCTGGGATTACAGGCGTGAGCCACCGCGCCCGGCCAAGATTTTTTTTTTTCTGTGCAGTATAATCCTGAGTATCGTAACATTTACAAAGCACTTTCAAATACGTTATTTCTACTTGATGAGAACCATAGAATATCATGGCAGGAAGGAATAATTTAGTCCATCTTTAGATGCCAGATGAGTGATGTAAGACTGAAAGAATACACAAGATTCCATAGCCAGTTGGAAGTAGAGAAAAGACCAGAACCCAGCATTCCAAACAA